CTACTCGGAAGGCTGAGGCGGAAGGATCGCCGGAGCCCAGCAGGTCGAGGCTGCGGTGGCTGGGAGCGGCCACTGCACTGCAGTCTGGGCGACAGAGTGAGACTCCAACTCAAACAACAACAACAACAACAAAAAACAACAAATACTAGGGGCTGAAGGGGTCTGGACAGTGGCAGCCAGGAAGAGGGAACACAGAAGGGGCTTGGCTGGCCCATCCTTGAGCCCCCTGGGGTTGCCGCCACCCACTCCCTGCTCCTGCCAGGCTGAGCGTGCCCATTATGAGCGCTGAGCTCTTCCCAGAGCTGAGCTCACAGGCACCAGGCCTGGCCAGGAGACCTGTCTTCACTCTTCCTGGGAAACCTCTCACCCTTCAAGCCCAGCGCAGAAGTCCTTCTCCACCAAGCCTCTCAAATACCTGGGTGGAACTAGTTGCTCTGCCCTTACTTCCAGAGCCCACGCACGCATGTCTCCACATTGACTGCTGCCCCTCCCCGCTGGAATGGGCTGTCCCATGCCTGAGGCCACAGTAACCTCTGAGGGCAGCAGGGTGAGGTGGATGGAACATGGGCTCTGGGGCCAGGCAGAGCAGGGTAGGCTGCGGGCTCTGCCCTTCACCCCGTGCTCTGCTGACCTGTCTCAACCCCAAGGCGCTTCCGTGTGCTTATGGGTGAATTATGCATACATGGACAGTTACAAGAAGCACAATGCCAGATACACAGTGTGAGGTCAATAAATGAGTCTGATGGTGGCAGCTATTAATACACACAGAGACAGCCCTGTGTGGTGGTAGAGAGCACAGGCCTTCCAGCCAGACCGCCTACATTCAGAGCTCAACTCTACCACTGGCTAGCTGTGTGCTTATAGGCAAGTTCCTTACCCTTGCTGTGCCTTGGCAGCTTCGTTTAGTAAATGGGGTTAGTAAGATATGACTTCTCTGGATTATCTTGAATATGAAGTGAACTAACCCCCACATAGCCCTTCCCCCCTCGGGTCTGGAAGACAGCCGGTCATGTGTGGTCCGTCTGTGCTGCCTACTCTTGCCAGGGACGGCACCTTTCCTTCTGGTGGAGCCCAGGTATGCAGCCAATCATGTTCAACAGACAAATGCTGGAGGGAGGATAGATGGGGAACGAAAGCCACCCTGCATTGCCCCTCCGCGGGTGGAGCCCTGGTCTCTGTCTTCCTCTTTGTTCTTTTCAACAGCTGGAGTTCTGAAGGGAGCCAGATGTGGCTCTGAGAGCAAGGGAAGAGGGGCTGGGGGAAGGGGAGCTGAGATAGGGGGGCGGGGGATGGGGATGGCAGAATTCTCCAGCAAGACCCCCAGTTACTGGTCTTTCTTGCCACCTGCCTGCAGGCCCCTGGAAGGGTCAGAGGGCGTGATGACGCACTCTCCAGGTGAGCTCTGGAAGCAGGGAGGGGCGAGGGTTACTGGGGCAGTTGCCACAGTAACATCACCCTGGAAACCCGATACCTGAGCCTCCTGCTAAGATGCCCAGAGTTCTGCCAACCTCAGAGGCAGGTGGAGGTGAACGGGCAGTCATGGCGACAGGAGAAGGCAGTGTCCCAGCCCCTTCTCCCATGGGGAGGGCAGGTTGCAGGGAAGAGTGGTGATGGTGTTCTGGATTAGGGATTCCCAGGCCCAGCGCAGGGCCTGCCCGCTGCTCATCCAGATGCCGCCTGTTTCTAGAAACAGGCCTGCCAACATGCCCCTGAAGAATAGGTGGGGCTTTCGGGTGTTGTGCAGGGGCCTGCCCCCACCCCGCCTCCTTGGCCGGCACTTTCAGGCCCTCCAACCTGCACGGAGTGGGAATGTGGCTGGGTGACAGGCTTGGGGCATCCTAGGGGATGGGGGTGTCCTCTGCGTATCTCTGGGGGCCAGGTCCCAGGAATTTGGAAAAAAGGCCAGAGTGTTGTACCCCCACCTTCTGCAGAGAAGAGCCCAGTGCTGAGGCCCTCTGTCTGGACAGAGGCAGATGTGAACATCTGGCAACCAGTACCCTCTTCTCACCCTCCACCTCCAGGGTTGGCCAGTGACTGACAGGGCTGAGGGCACAGGCCCCCTCTAGGCTAGAAGACGGCCCAGGAGGTATGCGGCGGGAAGGGGAGTGCCGCTGGCCAACCTGAAGCTGTAAGGACAGTGCCTGGTCCCCGGCTCACCCGGACCCCTCACACCTCACCTCCCTCCTGACTCGGGCCATACCTTGTCAGCAGTGGGGACCACAGGTGGGGTAAGGATGCTGGGGGGTGACTCAGGCCGCTTCTTGTGCTTCTGTTTAAGGCGTTCTTTGTCCTTTCGACTCTGGGAGGGAAAGGTCACCAAGGTATTGTACGGGGGGGCTGTCTGGGTGAGGATCTACATACCATGGGGATATGGGGGGCTGACCCCTCGCAAGGACGGGGCTTTGTGAGCACCACCTCTCCCCAGGGAGGGATGGAAGCTGGCTGGACAGGCGTGGCTCATGCAAGTTCCGCTGAGAGCCAGCGGCCCCTCCCCCACCCTCCGTGCCTGCTAAAAATAGCCTGTCCCATTATCACGCCAGTGACACAGAGCATGACACGTGAGCATACACCTGCAAGAGTGTCCACCTGGGACAGGACCGTGCAGAGGGACAGAAGCAGGGCACATGGTGATACATGGCACGAGAAGACACAGACATGTGCGCCTATACAGGGCCGGTGTATGGCTGGACGGTTGGAGATGTGTGCAATGTGCAGGGCCGTGTGTCTGGGCTTGGGGGACACTGTCACATCACAGGGAGGAGCACAGGCACAGACAGCCACAGAAGCAGGCCCCTCACCCTCCAGGACCCCCATGCCGCACTTCCTCAGCCCCTCCCGTCCCCTCAGCGGCCTCAGAGGAAGGAAAAGGGCAGGCATGGAGCCCCGGGCACCCCGGGGTGGCTCTGAGTCTGAATATGGGAGTGTGGCGGGAGGAGGGAGGGAAGGGTGTCTACCTTCTTCTGGCCCCTCTCATGGTGGGTGGGGTGCTTCTCCTGCTGGGTGGATGGCGAGGCTGACCGGCTTCTCCTGCCAGAGATGAAGCCACTGCCACCTCCCCCTGTGCTGCCACTGCCGCTACTACCACCGCCGCCTCCTCCGCTGCCCCCGCTGGTATGCCGGGATGTCTTCTGGGGGGAGAATGGAAAATTGCCAAGCCCTCTCCTCACCAGCTTAGGGAAAATTTCCAGAAGGCCAGACAACACCGGGGGCTGTTCCCACCTGCCCTGCCCGTCACTAAGGGGAACTCATGTGCTCCACGATGCCCTGCTTGGCAGAAGGGCATGCTCCAACCTGGAAATCCAAGCACTTTCCAGCTGGCTTAGCCAACGTACAGATTAAACAACTGAGGCCCAGAGGAGGCCGGGGCCTGACTTGGCCCTGAGCGAGGCTCAGGTCTCTTGCTCTTTCCATGCTGCCCTCCGGCCCCTCTTGGGAAGGTAGAGCCCTGGCCCATTTCCACCTCCTTCCCTGGGGCGAAGGATGTGCAGGGGACACTCGAGAGGAGCCCACGCTCTCCTGCACATCACACACCCCTCCCCAACACTGCGCCAGCCATCATATCCTTCTCCCTTGCTCCCAGCCCGTGCCCTCCACCAAATGCCATGCATGCACCTGTCCCGAAGGCTATGCTGCCCTCAACCAGAAGGGGGAAGTAACCCTCGCCAACAGGCCAAACAGCCTTCAGCGGCCTCCTCCCACCAGGGCTGCCTCCCACCCCTTCCCTAATGCACCCCCAGTCTTGGCCTCACCCGGGCTGGCAGCTGTTCCCTCTAAGGTCACCAGCTACCTCTCGGCTGCCAAATCCAAGGGCAGATTTCAGGCCTCATCTGACCAGGTGGCTCCTGTCTCGCTGAGTGCCGGGCCCCACAGAACCTCCCTCTCACCTGCCCCCTGCCTATCCTTGTGGATACCGTGGGGCTGCCACAATCACCCTGCCCAAGGGTCTGATACCCAGTCAATCCAAAAGTCTCCACGTGGCACCTCTTGCAAACCAAACCAAGCTCCCGGCCTTGTCCTAAGTTTTCAACCAACCCTGAAACCAAGGTGACCATATAATTTATGATTAAACCAGGACACTTTTGAAGATGAAAGGAGAAGCCAGCCAGGGCATGGTGGCTCATGCCTGTAATCCCAGCTCTTTGGGAGGCAGAGCCAAGAGGACTGCCCAAGTCCAGGGGTTCAAGACCAGCCTGGGCAACTTGGCAAGACCTTGTCTCTACAATAAATCAAAAAATTCACCAGGTGTGGTGGCGTGCACCTGTGGTTCCAGCTATTTGGAAGGGTGAGGTGGAAGGATCACCTGAGCCCAGCAGGTTGAGGCTGCAGTGGCCATGAGCGTGCCACTGCACCCCAGCCTGGGCAACAGAGTGACTCCAACTCAAAAAAGTAAAAGAAAAAAGAAAGAGGGGAGCCAATAACAATACCAGGGTGACAGGCGTACACCAAGATATACGTGTAGCCCATAGAAGCCAGCTGTACCCTGTTCATGGCGCCCTCAGGTGTTCAAGCTCCATGCGTCCAGATCCTAAATGGTACCCCAACTCCTGCTTCTCTGCACCCCCACATTCAGGCAAGTCTACCTAGAGATGGTTCTAGCATGCAGCCTCATCCCTCCACCCCCCTGATGACAGCTGTCTCCCAGCCACCAGCCTCAGCCCTTCAGATTCAGCCTCATGGCGGCTGCCCGGGTAATCTTCCTAAAAAACAAATCTGATCATGTTACTCTCCTGCTTACGAGCCTTAGAGCCTGTGGCCAGGGAACGTCCGAGCCACAGCTGACCTCTCCGGACATGTCCCAGCTCCGCCACATGCCAGTTTCTCCATGCATGGGACAGCCCCCGCCTCCAGCCAATCCTTGGGCCCTGCTAACACCCCATTCGCCCGCCAGTCTCTCTGTCTGAGCCTGGTTTCTCTGTGTGTCCCAGGGAGCTTCTCCATCAAGCTACCTGCTCTGAATGCCACCCGTCAGCTGCAAGGTAAGTCACATAATGCTGCTGAGCCTTGGTTTACTCATCTGAAAAATGGGAAAAACACACCACCTCTAGTCCTGAGGCTGCAGGGAGGCTCCCACAGCACAGCACGTGGAAGGAGCTTGGTATAGAGGCTGGAACATAGTAAATGTTGACTCCCACGCAAACGGTGGCTCGTATTTTTATTCCCACCTCCACGCAGCTTAAATGCTATCTCTTCCTTGAAGCCTCCTGGGCTGACAGGCAGGGTCTGAGCTCGGTCTTCCTGGGTGGGCCACTTTGCTCAGCTCTGACAAACAGCCCTGACGCTGGGCTTTAATGCATTCCCCATGGAATGGTGCTCCTCCAGGGCCGGGCCTGGGCTCTTTCCCTCTCTGTCCCCCAGCACCAGGCATCACTCTGGCCCAGAGCCCACACCCTCCACCCACAGCTGGCGGGTGGCTGGGTGCCGGCGGGCGGGACTAACCATCTTGCTGAAGTGGTATTTGCAGTAGCCGCAGTACTTGACGTTGTCCACCTCCAACACTTCTTCCTCACACAGCAGGCCTGCCATTTGGGCGCTAGGCAGGAGAGGTCAGCCTGAGTTGGCTGTGGCCGTGGGCCAGCCTGGCCACCCTCCCCTCACCCGCCTGGACCCCTGCTGAGGCAAGACCAAGACCACCAAAGAGACAGCAGCTAGGATGTGCCCAATCAGCGGCCATCCACGACAAAACTTGGGGATGGCGGGGGAAGGGGTCTCACCAGGTGACATGGAAAGCTTGACGACATCCATGGCGGTTGCAGGTCATGCAGGCTCCTGAGGCTGCTTTGCTCTCCCGGCCCTGCTCCTCACAGATGTAACACGTCTACAGGACACAGCACAGTCGTCCCCTCCTCCTGGGAGCCCCTGTCCTGCCTGGCCTTTCAGCCTCAACTCAATTCCATCCTCTCCCCATCCAAAATTGGTATGAACCAATAACTTTCTACAGTGATGGAAATGTTCTCTAACCCACACTGTCCGGTACAGTAGCCACAAGTCACACGAGCTATTAGCACTGGAAATGTGTGGCTTGTGTGACTGAGAACTGGATTCTAAGTCGTACCTGGTGGTCATGAATTTACACAACCACATGTGGCCAGGGCTGCTGTACCAGGAAGCAAAGTTCATAGATAATGCGCTCTCAGAGGCCAGGGATGGGCCTGTCTCGCCCACCGGGAGCCTATTCCCCAGGGCCCTGGCCCATGCTTTCTTCTGCCTGGAGCCTGGGGATCTTATCCTCCTCAAGCCTGGCTCCTTCTCATGCCCTAGGTCTCAGCTAACTGTCCCCCTCCGTGACCACTCGATCTAACGCGAGACCAGCAGGCCATACTTATTTCACTGCTGCATTTTCTTCACAGCCCCCATCACATTGCCTGTATTTGCCTGTTTCCTGATACTCAGTCTTCCCCCACAGAGCAGGCAGTGCATCTGTCTTGATCGGGACAGAGCTCTGCGGGGCCAGGCACCTTGCACCAGGTCAGCACACAGCAGGCACTCAATAAGCTGTGCCCAGCGAGCGAATGAATGAACCCCGCAGTACCACCCCAGGGAGCTACTCCATCCAGGAGCACATGTTTGGGGCTAGGTTCTCCGGCCCCTGAGTTCCCTGGAAGTGTCGGTTGGGCAGAATCAAACTACACTGGTGAAGAAAGCGCGGGAGGGACCCTGGTCAGAGAGGGGACGGGTGCGGGGCACGGCAGGGGCGGGGCCGCTGACCTTGTTGAAGCGATCATGGGGCACGTATTGCAGCACGATGGGCTCCATGGTGAGCACGTTGGCAAACTGCACCTCGGGGATGTAGAGGGCGCACACCACATGGGCCCAGCCTGGGGCAGTGTGGGGCGGCCTCAGCGGGGGAGGGCAAGCCAAAAACCCACCCCTCGAGTGGCCTTCCTGCCTCTGCAGCCTTCCCGTCAAACTCCAGGGCCAGCCAGGGAAAAGACCCAGGGCTCCTGCCCAACGCCCCACTCCCACATCCCCATTCCTGCTCAGGGACCGCGGCTGACCTCCCCGGATGGGCCCACCTCACCTCCATTGTCAGTCCTCTTCAATGCCCCGTCCTTGTGTGGGCACAGCTCACACCTCTGCCAATGCAAGGGGGCACAGGGGTTGGGGACCTGTGTTGCTGGCCTTCCCTCAACACATTCAACAGAGGCCCCAGGATGAAAAAAGGGGGGTGGGGGAACAGCGGAGAGAGACCTCGCCATGACATGACTGCTGTTGAGGGCAAGGGTGGGGACAAGAAATTTACTTACAGCGCCCTCCACTCTCCCACGGGCCGGAAACTTTCCATGACAAAAAGTTCAAACAAAAACCAAAGTCCCCAGGCCTGAGGTGGGGCAGAGGGAGGAAGGGCTGAGGGAGAGATGGGCTGGCCGGCGATAGGTGTGCAGGAAACAGGAAGTCCCTGTGACAGAGCAGTCCCACCCTAGCGCAGCTCAAGGCCCCCAGCTCCGCCGGAGCCGCTCAGGTGTGCGGGAGGGGCGAGGGGCAGGTGAGGGGGAGCCGCAACTCACCACCCTGGCTGCTCGCTCCTGAGATTCACATTTCCGGCAGAACCAGGGTCCCGTCGGCACCTGAACGATGCCATAGCAAGCTGGGGGTGGGGAGGACAGTCACTGAGCAGAGCTGTCAGCCACGGGCTTTCCCCCAGAGTCACTGGGAAAAAGGTGGTGACTCCAGAAGACCAGAGCCAGTTCCAGCAGGGGGGACTGTTCCCCCCGCCGGAGGTCACTCTCGAGACGGCAGGACCACAGGCACGCCCGGCAGTGCAACGCCCGGCAGTGCAACGCCCGCCTTCAGCTACACGCCCAAGCGCTCCAAACAGGGGCGGGAAGTCCGAGTCCTTGACCTTAAACTTCCAGAAGAGCTTCCCCCCACGCCCTCTCTGGACTTGTTTCCCGGCTTCGACATCGGGAAGAGTGAAAACCAGAGAGGACAACAGTCACAACAGTCAAACACGTTTTGTTGTCATGGGGGGGGATTTCTTAAAGGGCCAGTAAGGGACGAGGCGGGGAGGCAGGGGGCCTAGGGGACCTCTCGTCTGCCTCTGACGATCACAGGTACAGGTCAAAAGTCAAGGCCGCGGGCAGGTGCAGGGCTGGTGACGGAGCGGACAGTGGCGGGAAGAGCCCACAGCCAGAGCCTTAAGCGTTGTCCCAGGAAGGGGGGAGGGCGCTGCCGGTGCCAGGCAGGCGGGAGATGCCAGCCTGCGCCCTCGGCAAGATTCCTCAAGGAGTTAACTCCCAGCCATGTGCTGCTGGGGGAAACTCCAAACCTCCCTCTTCCCGATCCCGGCCCCCGGCACAACCTCTCTCCTCTGCTCGGCTCTTCCCGGAGGATTTGAGGAGTCCCCTCTCCCCTGGGACCCCTCTCCTCCCGGCCCAATTCCGCTCCTCCCCGCATCCGGAAGCGAGGGGGGGTGACCCCCCCCCGACCTCTTCCTCCCAGAGCCGGGACCAAAATAACCGGGCGGGAGGGGACGCCCCGCAGGTAAACACTCCCCCGGCAGCCCCGACGCGGGCGGTGCGGGGCGCGGGGAGTTCGCTCGCCGCTCCCCAGACTCTCCCCAAACTCCCGCAACTTGGGGCGGGGGGCGCGGGACTGGAACAATAGGCAGGAAAACAATGCCTGACCCGGTCTTCCCGGAC